GAGAGGAGGGTGCTCAGGTATGAAAATGTGCTGCTCAAACACTATACTTTTCCGCTCACACTGAAAAAAAATTAGAGGGAACATTGAATATGACCCTGCTCAGATGAAAGATGCATAGGTTGTCCCGGATGCAGAGTGCTGCCAACTCGGACACACGTCTAGCCGATGTGATGGCTACTAAAAAGATAGTCTTAAGAGTCAGTAACCTGAGAGAGATGGTCCCAATAGGTTTGAATGGAGCAGCTGTGAGGGCCTTGAGCACCAGGGAAAGGTCCCAGGTGGTGTAACAATGGACGGACTAAGGTTCGATGCACCCTTCAGGAAAGCCTGCACACCTGGGTGTTGTGATAGGGGGTGACCCCGCCCACCACCAATCACGGTAGACAAAGCTGCAATTTGGTGGCGGAGGGTATTAGGTGTTAGCCCCTTGTCCATGCCAATCTGTAGGAAGTCTAATACCTGTGGTATGGTTGCCTCGGTTGGATCTGCATCTGTAGCTCGACACCATCTGCAGAAGGTGTGCCAGTGGCCTCGTAGATGCGGTTTGTTGACGGGCAGCGAGCCGCCTGGATCGTAAAGATGACCTTGTCAGAGAAATGCTGTTGACTCAGAATTGCCTGCTCACGTGCCACACGGCTAACTGTAATAGCTGTGGATTCAGATAGATGAGGGCTCCTTGTGAGAGGAATATCTGGTCGTCCGGAATTCTCCATGGGTGCAAGATTGACAGATGGATGAGGTCGGCATACCAGGGACATCGTGGCCACATCGGTGCGACCAGTAGTACCTCCGCCTGTTCCGCTAGAACCTTCTGGATGACCAGCAGTATAATTGGTGGAGACGGGAAGGCATAAAGGAGGCCCTCTGGCCAAGGGCTGCGAAGGGTATCGGTGCCTTCCACCCCTGGTACCTGAAACCTGGTGCAGAATCGCGACAGGTGTGTGTTGTTGGGCTGAACGAACAGATCCACCTGCGGTTGACCGAAGCGGCGGGAAAGCTTTTGGAACAGGGCTGGGTGTAGCCGCCACTCTGCCTGATCCACTGTAGCCCTGCTCAACCAATCCGCTTGGACGTTTGCAGTGCCCAATATATGTTCCGCTCGGACTGACAACAGATGGTTCTCTGCCCAGTCGTGCAGACATTCTGCCTCCATCATCAGAGATTTGGTCGTGTGCCCCCCCTGACGGTTGACATGCACCTTGGAGGCCACATTGTCAGTGAGTATCAACACATGGTTAGACATCACCAGGTCTCGAAACTTGCACAGGGCTAGGTGGATAGCTTGTAGCTCCAGCCAATTGATGCTGTTCCTCAGCTCCCGGGCGGTCCAACGACCTTGTGCCACTCGATCCAGGGAGTGTGCTCCCCACCTGAATTGGCTCGCATCTGTTGTAACTATGACCCGCTCTGGTTCCTTGAAGAGGCATCCCTTGAGGATGCAGGCCGACATCCACCAACAGAGCGACAGGGACACCTTGGTCAGTAAGCAAGTCCTGGTCTGAGAGTGACTGGTATGAGCCCTTTGGAAGGGGAGGAGAAACCACTGGAGTGGTCGCGCATGGAACCTCGCCCAAGGGACAATGTCTATGCAAGATATCATCTTCCCTAGAAGTTGGGTCAATACTGCGAGGGAAGGTGACCTCTGATTGAGCACTTGACTCAATAGGGACCGCAGGCTCTGTTGCCCCCCCCAGAGAGAGAGAGAGAGAGAGAGAGAGAGAGAGAGAGAGAGAGAGAGAGAAAGAGAGGGGAGACACAACACACGTTTCCGAATTGATGACTGTCCCGAGATGCAGAAGAGATATGGTCAGGTGCAGGTGGCTCTTTGGGAAGTTCAGTACAAAGTCGTGATCTTGCAAGGTGTCGATCGTCAGCTGTAGGTCGCGACAAGCCTGGCCCCGGGAAGACGATAAGACCAAGATGTCATCTAGATAACAATTGACTCTTACAGGAACTGACCTCAGCGAGGCTGCGATCACTGCTAGCAATTTGGTGAAGGTTCCTGGGGCCGATGATAGGCCGAATGGCAGGGTGTGGTATTGGAAATGACACCCTGCAAAGTAGAAGCGCAGGAACCTTCGATGGGCCAGATGTATCGGCACGTGTAGGTATGCCTCCTTGACATCGATGGAGGTGAGGAGATCGCCTTGGCGAATGCACGCTAGAATGCTTTTGAGCGATTGCATTCTGAATTTTTGGTACTTTAGATAGAAGTTGAGCCGTTTCAAGTCTAGGATGGCCCGCCATCCTCCTGAGTTCTTGGGAACTAGGAAGAGTATGGAGTAAAATCCTAGACCCTCCTACCCTCTTAGCACCTGTTCTATGGCGTTGATGGAAATGAGGTGCTAAATTTCTGATTCCATCAGGCACCGTTTTACCTGGCACCTGGGAACCAGGCATCTGATGAAACGTCTCAGGGGGACGGCCAGGAATTCCAGAATGAGGCCCAGCCTCACGGTCTGAAGAGCCCAGGCATCCGAGGTTGTGGCTTCCCATTGGTGGGCGAAGGTAGTCAAGCGCCCGCCAATAGGGCCAACCTCGAGCGAGTCACTGGTACCTACGAAAGGACCGGTTGTTGGTGCCATGAAAAGGCCGCCGGGCCTGGGTCTGCGGTTGGTGCTGGTTCCTACCTCTGTCCCTAGTATTGGTTCTGTCCTGAAACATGTCCTGAAACTGAGAAAAGGATCTATTAGATAGAGGGGTATAGGGAAGGGGAGAGTACCCCGAATCCCCAACACGAAAGGACTGCCTTTGAGGATAAGGCTGTTGCCTCCTATCCGTGCGCCTAGCTGTCGAAGGGTGCACCTTTCGCTTGTCCCTCATCTCAATCAATATAGGGTGTAGTGCTGCTCCAAAGAGGGAACCGCCCTTGAAGGGGGTGGAAGCAAGGCGCCATTTAGAGCATACGTCCGCCTGCCAATGGCATAGCCATAAGATGCAACGAGACGCTATGTTGGATGCCACAGCTCGGGATGCGAACTTGGCCGCATTGAGCATGGCATCAGAGGAGAATTCTAAGGCCGCTACCAGTTTTTTAATGACATCCTGATGAAGGCGCAAATCCTCTGAAACTAACTTCTCCTGCAACTGTCTTAACCAGACTAAAGAAGTTCTATTGAAGAACGAGGCCGCTGTAGCGGCCCGCAATGCCCAGGCAGCCGCCTGGTGCGTTTGGCGAATAACTAGCTCTGCCCTGCGGTCCTCAGCCTTCAAGCCCTCCGAGATTTTGGATGGAATGAGAGCTGGGGAAGCCAAAGCCACTATTGGAGGATCGACAGTGGGAAACTGTAAGATGGGGTCTAATTCCGGTGTGG